GTGTGAAGTGTGGAGTGTGGAGTGTAAATAAAGTGTGTAGTGAGGAGTGAGGAGTGTAAAGTGTAAAGTGTAAAGTGTAAAGTATGGAGTGTAGAGTGAAGAGTGTAGAGTGCACAGTGTAGTGTGTAAAGTGTAGAGTGTGGAGTGTGGAGTGTAAAGTGTAAAGTGTAAAGTGTAGAGTGTAAAGTGTAGAGTGTGGAGTGTAAAGTGTGGAGTGTGGAGTGTAGAGTGTAAAGTGTAGAGTGTAAAGTGTAACGTGTAAAGTGTAACGTGTAGAGTGAAGAGTGTAGAGTGTGGAGCTTTTTTTCTGTGTCTGTGTCTGTCTGTGTCTTTGTCTGTCTCTGTATGGAGGGAGGTTACAGTTGGTTACGCGAGGTTATGGGGAGGCATGGGAGCAACTTTCTGCCATTTAGCGGCCCTTCGGTCGACTATTGAATTTCTCTTCCGGGATCATTGGGAAACGGCCGTTTTGGGCCAAATCCTGGCCGGGAGGTCACGGGAGGTCACGGGAGGTCATGGGAGGTTACGGGAGGTTACGGGCGGTTACGGAGGGGGAAAACGGAGGAAAGTGGAGGAACGGCAGGAGAAGGTAGGAGAAAACCAAAGAAAATGACAGAAATGTCAAGTGTAAAGTGTAGAGTGTGGAGTGTGGAGTGGAAAGTGTAGTGTAGAGTGTAGAGTGTAAAGTGTAGAGTGTAAAGTGTAGAGTGTGGAGTGTAAAGTGTGGAGTGTGGAGTGTAAAGTGTGCAGTGAGGAGTGAGGAGTGTAAAGTGTAAAGTGTAAAGTATGGAGTGTAGAGTGTCGAGTGTCAAGTGTAGTGTGTAAAGTGTAGAGTGTAAAGTGCAGAGTGTGGAGTGAGGGGTGTACAGTGTAAAGTGTAAGGTGTGGAGTGTTCAGTGTAGAGTGTCAACTGTAGAGTTTAAAGTGTAAGGTGTGGAGTGTAAAGTGTGGAGTGTGGAGTGAGGAGTGTACAGAGTAAAGTGTGGAGTGTAGAGTGTAGACTGTAAAGTGTAGAGTGTAAAGTGTAGAGTGTGGAGTGTAAAGTGTGGAGTGTGGAGCGTCAAGTGTGCAGTGAGGAGTGAGGCGAGTAAAGTGTAAAGTGTAAAGTATGGAGTGGAGAGTGAAGAGTGTAGAGTGTAAAGTGTAGTGTGTAAAGTGTAGAGTGTAGAGTGTGGAGTGTAAACTGTAGAGTGTGGAGTGTAAAGTGTGGAGTGTGGAGTGTAAAGTGTCGAGTGTAAGTGTAGAGTGTGGAGTGTAAAGTGTGGAGTGTGGGGTGTAAAGTGTGCAGTGAGGAGTGAGGAGTGTAAAGTGTAACGTGTAAAGTATGAAGTGTAGAGTGAAGAGTCTAGAGTTTAAAGTTTAGAGTGTAAAGTGTAGAGTGTGGAGTGTAAAGTGTGGAATATGGAGTGCAAAGTGTGAAGTGCAAAGTGTGGAGTGTAGAGTGTAGAGTGTAAAGTGTAGAGTGTAAAGTGTAGAGTGTGGAGTGTAAAGTGTGCAGTGAGGAGTGAGGAGTGTAAAGCGTAAAGTGTAAAGTATGGAGTGTAGAGTGAAGAGTGTCGAGTGTAATGTGTAGTGTGTAAAGTGTAGAGTGTGGAGTGTAAAGTGTAGAGTGTAAAGTGTAGTGTGTAAAGTGTAGAGTGTGGAGTGGGGAGTGTAAAGTGTAAAGTGTAAAGTGTAGAGTGTAAAGTGTAGAGTGTGGAGTGTAAAGTGTGGAGTGTGGAGTGTAGAGTGTAAAGCGTAACGTGCAAAGTGTGGAGTGTAGAGTTAAAGTGTAGAGTGTAAAGTGTAGAGTGTAAAGTGTAGAGTGCTGTGTGTATGTCTGTCTGTGTCTGTGTCTGTCTCTGTATGGGAGGGAGGTGACAGTTGGCTACGAGAGGTTACGGGGAAGCATGCGAGCAACTTTCTATCATTTAGCGGCAATCCGGTCGTCTATTGAATTTCTCTTCTGGGATCATTGGGAAACGGCCGTTTTGGTCCAAATCCTAGCCGGGAGGTCACAGGAGGTCATGGGAGCAAATGTCTGCCATTTGGCGGCCCCTCGGCCGCCTATTGAATTTCTCTTCTGGGATCATTGGGAAAAGGCCGTTTTGGGCCAAATCCTGGCCTGGAGGAGGTCACGGGTCAGGGGAGGTCACGGGGGGCCATGGGAGGTTACAGTAGGTTGCGGGAGGTTACGGAGGAGGAAAACGGAGGAAAGTGGACGAACGGCAGGAAAAAGGTTGGAAAAAAACGAAAGAAAACGAAGGAAAATCGTTAAAAACAGGAGGAAAATGGAGGAACTCCGAAGCTCAACGGAGAGCAGCATCCGTTGGGGTTCGGAACAAGATAGTTTGCAAGGGGATGAGAAGTGATACTGAGGAAGGGGGGGCGAAGGGTTGCAAAGCAAGGAGAAGTCTTCCAAAGGTGTGGGGGCTCGGTAGCAGGGAATTTGGATGAGGCTCCATATACGTCAAGTCAATCCATCCCCAGCCTTCTCTCGAGACACCGTGGGATACCAAGGTACCGCATGCATCCTTCTATCCGGAGCTTTCCATCATCGCAGTTCTATCAGTCCATGCTGGAGGACCAGGTGTCCATCCCCCATCGACCGAAGCTGAACTGCGTCTGGCCACAGAAGAAGGAGCTGGGATTGCAAAAGTGTTGACTGGCGGGGTCATACCTGGGGATTTATCATACACTTACTGAATCAGGCATGATTCATCAGCGGGTGTATTTTTTTTTAGAAATTGTTTTTGATTGTTTTTGCATGTTTTTGATGCTTGGCTACAGGACCATCGGATCTTCATCGATTGCCAGATGCCCCAATCCATGGGCCTCTCACCCGAGCTGACGCAAACCTGCGATGCGGCGTTGATGGAGAGCAAGGCGCGGAACCGAACAGCTGCGACTTCGGCCGATCTCATGTTTTGTTGCAGTTTTTGCCGAGGAAGTTCAGGGAACAAACACAGGACTTAAGCTGGACAATTGGGTTTATTGTCAAATCGATGTGGCTGAAGTTGTTCTTTACCTGGTCTCTTACTTGCAAGACTAAGAATCCAGAGCTTAGCCCCTCGAGGTTTCCTTGAAGAACGTGGGGGAGGCTCGATCTGTGGTGGCTGCCTGCGCGGCGTTGCTGCGACAGAAATGTGCAGCACGAGACATTGCAGTGATCACACCCTACAAAGCCCAGCAGCACGAGATTCGTGCCAGGCAGGGCTTCTTGTTTGGTGCGTTGCTTCCTTTCCCAAGAGTTTAAGGACAATTTTTTCTCCTTCATCGGATGCATTGAGTGAGATCAACCAAGTTAAATCAGCCAAGCACGACGTCGCCTAGTTGGCCCTACCTGGATTAAGGAAAGTATGTCTCTAAAAAGTTGTTGTATAACTAGTTGTGCGCGTCATGGGCACTAAAGCCATTTGAGTGGTACAGGTTAGCAAGAGACAAAGATGTTGGCTCCCACTCGAAGTCAATCTTGGTGGGCACCGTGCACGCTCTGCAGGCTACTTACAATGCTTGGCTCTTTAAAAAATGAGGGGGGGCGGAACGATTGTCACATTTGAGTGAAACCAAACGATGAGCAAAACCCAGCATCTGGTGTTTTGTAGATGTGTTCCAGCAGCCTTTAGCCTGCCTCTTGCGTGCAATGCTTGCAGGGCTCGGAGCGCGAATACATCATCGTGAGCTTTGTCCGCAGCACCTCGCAGGACGAGGACGTGGTCACCTCCGTGGCAAAGACTGCTGGGGACTCCGTGGCGCTGCAGGAGAACTGGTAGCTGTTGGCTGGTGGATGAATCTTACATGAGCTCACGGGGTGATTTTTTTTTTGTGGGGAGGCTGGTTGAGGGGTGGCTTTTGGCGTTTGTTGTCAGCAAGTCACAAAGTTTGAGTGAGCCGGTGCAGGAGATGTACCAAAAAAGTCTGGGCATCCTTGAAAACTACAGGGTTTTGAATGTGGCCATCACACGAGCCAAGTACGGGCTCATTTGTGTTGGAAATGCAGATGTGTTGAGTAAAGGATCGAAAGACTTCCGTGACTTTATTCACAGCTTGCGAAGCTCCAAATGTATCCTGAGTCAGAATAGATTTATTGCATCTGTCCGTGCACACAGGGCGTCCCAGTGATTTCTGGAAGAGCAGCAATGTTATTTGTTGAACTTAATTCAACCTTAAGATTTGATAAGATCAGGATCTAATCTAACTAAGACCAAAAGAAATTCGCTGGGCTGTCGTGCGCCATTGATCTTTCCCAAAGGCTATTGACGGGCGTGCAGATGCGTCGGAAGCCGCCAGTGTTCGAAATTGCCATGGGCTCCAGCCCAAGGCAACACATTTCGCAGTGCTTAGATGAAGGCATTGATACCTTTGAGCTCAGTAGCCTTCGACATCTTTTACAAATAGGCAAAAATTGGGAGTACCGAATCTGTAAAGTAGTTCGCTGTTGATTATTGTTGTACGTATAGTTTGCCCATGATTTGCTCTTCCCAATTTTGGTCAAGCCCAGACCTAGTCTTCGTGTAGGAAAAAGGGTCCCACAGCACGCAAATTTCGTCGCTAGCCAGGTGGGTTGTGTATCAGAGTATCAGTAGGTCAGATGCGATGGATGGTTCAATGTGTTCGACTGTGCCAACATGATCTCCATGTATGTTCCTGCAAGGTCAGGTTCAATGTCCATATTGTCCATGGCCTGGCGGCCTGGCGGGCAACTTGTAGGCATCGATGCGGTTTTACCCGATGCCACTCAGTGGAGTTGAGCAGCCTGAAGCTGTATGGCTCCAGCGATAAAGACATTGCAGACCTGGTTCCACACACGGCAAGATGGATGTCTGATTCAAGAGGATGCGCATGGTGCATTGAGATTCCGAGCAAGGACTCCGATTTGCAAAAGGCTGTTGAATTGTTAGGGTCTTATCCCCATGTTGTCTTTCCACCAACTCAGATCCCCAGTGCTGCCCGCACCGATGAGAACCCCAGACCCCATGCCGTGTTCCGATTGACTCCTGTGGGCTGAAGCGTCAACATGCATGGCGTTTCCGCACCGAAGCATCCGAGAATGGCTGAGGGATATCCATTTAGACTTGGAGGGGTATGCTGCCAAGTTCGATGACCTGGGATACAATGGACAGTTCCTGATTGAAACAGTGGCTTGTTTCAGACTCAGACTGACGTTGAAACTGTTTATTGAGTCAACCTTCTGTTAAGTTTGCCTTACAAACGATAAGGAAAGTGCAGACCTCGAAGATGATCTGAAGGATTTGGTGAAAAAAGTCCATCTTCGTGTCATCCTGAAGGAGCATGCAAAGCTAACGACGCTCAAGTTCCTGGAGCACGCGGATGCTGCTCCAGCCGGTCCACAAGTGACCCAGGCGTCCAGGAAATCGGTTGAATCACCGGTGCTAAAACTGATACCTTGTGCAAAGGATGTCACTGCATTTCAGAATCTTGGACTGTTCAGCAAAGTCTTCCATATTTCAGTGGCAGGTGAACTGGTCATCACAAGTGCTGTTGCTTCGGATGTATCGTTCCGGGACGGGCCGTTGTCCCCTTCGATTTTTTGTCACATGATGGCTGACCCAGTTTTTTGAGGCCTGACCCACAAAGCATTCGCAATGGACATGTGGTGCTGATACCCATTTGGTGCCTGCGCTCGATCCAGGGAAAGGTGCGGTCGGAGATGACATTTACTTCTGGAAAAAACAAGGACAGACATCCATGGGCAGACGCCTTTTTTTGATTGCTTGTGTCAAGAGTGAAACTGTCGCTTTCATTTCTGCTCCGCCCTAATTACTGAAATTGAGCTGCATGGGTCGCGATACTGACATGTATAGACTGATTCAGATTTATTATATAGATAAGGATCCGTCTTGAATTCAAGTAAGTAGTCTCAGCCCTCACTAGGAAGTGCTTGGATCAAGCTTGTTCTTCTTGATTCTGTGAAAATGAATGCAGATTGTGGGGTTCTCCTGTAGTTGGTTTGCAGGATTCTTCTGTCTATGAGCTCATGCATGACATGCTGAGCGGTAGGCAGCGTCCAGAAGACGTCGAACCACTTCAGGTCGTGGTGAACGAGCACGGGCTGCACATTGTGAGAGGACATCGCCGCGGTCTTGCCTTGTGCGCTCTTCAAGGCATCTGGAGAGACCGAACTGTGTTGGCACCGTGCCGTTTGTACAAAGCGGAAGACCCGGAGATTGCCAGTCAGTTCGCGAATATGGATACCATGGTGGATGGCCTTTCCATTCAATTGCATGGGAAATTGCCGGAAGCCTGGCACATGGGCAAACCTCTTTTTCGCAATTCACAAGAGTGGTGCGATTCCATGGCTGACATGCCTGTCACTGTGCAGACCTTGTCCGAAAGCTCACAACTCCGTCTGCAGTACTTCAACAAATCAGGCCCTCAAAATGCGCGGAGAAGAGAATCTCTCAGCACCAGTGGCACTGCACAGGCATCACCTCCAGTGACTCTGCAGCTTGCCAGAGCTTTGGGAAGTCAGTGTGTTGAGCACCACCAACCCATGACTGAAAGTGCCACTCAGCCCTCTTGCAAAAGCTCTGAGACAAGAAATGGGTCCACTGAAGGGTGTGCAGAACTCAAAGAAAACATGGTGGTTTGTGTGACAGGCAGCATGGGCAGTGGCTCAAGATTACTAGTTGGCAAGATTCTGGAAGTTTCTCGGTCTCGCGGTGTCAAAGTGCGCTACAGGGGCAGCACTGCCACTGGCCAATCAGGCTCATTTACAGTCGATTGGTTTCCGCTGGAAAGGCTGAAAGTTCCCAACTTTTCCAAGCTCAAGCAAGGCATGCATGCGACTGTCGAAGATGTGGACTCTGGTTCACTTTTCCATTGCAATGTCTTGCAGGTGTCGAAAGAGGAAGACAGAGTAGAGGCCCCTGTGTATGTTCACTACCATGGTTACGAGTCAGATTATGATGAGTGGGTAGGTGCAGACCGGATTCGAAGCAAGGCTTTGATCTGGCATGAGCCTAGTCTACCCAGTGACATCATGAAGAGCCAGCACTCTGAATCTGAAAGTGCTGCGACTGCCTCTGATGCAAGCGATGAGGAATCAGCAGCTTGCATGGAAGCGAAGGTTGTGTGTTGCAGGTGGTTGGCTGGCAAATGCTTGCATACAGGGCATCATGTTCACGGAAAAAAGCTGCACTTGCACGAGGATATCCAGGGTTTACAGTGTGGCTTCGGTGCAAGTTGCTGGTACAAACACTATGAGAGAAAAAGTGCCTTTTGTGCAGAACAAGGAGAGCTCAAAGAGGGCATGGTGATTTGCGTCTGCAGCGGCTCACAGATGGTGTCAGGCAAGATTCTGGACATTTCTGGGTCTCGAGGCGTCAAAGTGAGATACGCTGCACGGGAAGAAGCAGGCACGTGCCATGCAGAGTGGCTTCCGCTGGAAAGGCTGAAAGTACCTGACTTTTCCAAATTCAAGCAAGGCATGAATGCGACAGTCGAAGATGTGGCCTCTGGCTCACTTTTCCATTGCAAAGTCTTGCAGGTGTCGAATGAGGAAGACCGAGTAGAGGCCCCTGTGTATGTTCACTACCATGGTTACGAGTCAGATTATGATGAGTGGGTAGGTGCAGACCGGCTTCGAAGCAAGGCTTTGATCTGGCATGAGCCTAGTCTACCCAGTGACATCATGAAGAGCCAGCACTCTGAATCTGAAAGTGCTGCGACTGCCTCTGATGCAAGCGATGAGGAATCAGCAGCTTGCGTGGAACCGAAGGTTGTGTGTTGCAGGTGGTTGGCTGGCAAATGCTTGCATACAGGGCATCATGTTCACGGAAAAAAGCTGCACTTGCACGAGGATATCCAGGGTTTACAGTGTGGCTTCGGTGCAAGTTGCTGGTACAAACACTATGAGAGAAAAAGTGCCTTTTGCGCAGAACAAGGAGAGCTCAAAGGGGGCATGGTGATTTGCGTCTGCAGCGGCTCACAGATGGTGTCAGGCAAGATTCTGGACATTTCTCGGTCTCGAGGCGTCAAAGTGAGATACGCTGCACTGGAAGAAGCAGGCACGTGCCATGCAGAGTGGCTTCCGCTGGAAAGGCTGAAAGTACCTGACTTTTCCAAATTCAAGCAAGGCATGAATGCGACAGTCGAAGATGTGGCCTCTGGCTCACTTTTCCATTGCAAAGTCTTGCAGGTGTCGAATGAGGAAGACCGAGTAGAGGCCCCTGTGTATGTTCACTACCATGGTTACGAGTCAGATTATGATGAGTGGGTAGGTGCAGACCGGATTCGAAGCAAGGCTTTGATCTGGCATGAGCCTGGTCTACCCAGTGACATCATGAAGAGCCAGCACTCTGAATCTGAAAGTGCTGCGACTGACTCTGATGAAAGCGATGAGGAATCAGCAGCTTGCGTGGAACCGAAGGTTGTGTGTTGCAGGTGGTTGGCTGGCAAATGCTTGCATACAGGGCATCATGTTCACGGAAAGAAGCTGCACTTGCACGAGGATATCCAGGGTTTACAGTGTGGCTTCGGTGCAAGTTGCTGGTACAAACACTATGAGAGAAAAAGTGCCTTTTGTGCAGAACAAGGAGAGCTCAAAGAGGGCATGGTGATTTGCGTCTGCAGCGGCTCACAGATGGTGTCAGGCAAGATTCTGGACATTTCTGGGTCTCGAGGCGTCAAAGTGAGATACGCTGCACGGGAAGAAGCAGGCACGTGCCATGCAGAGTGGCTTCCGCTGGAAAGGCTGAAAGTACCTGACTTTTCCAAATTCAAGCAAGGCATGAATGCGACAGTCGAAGATGTGGCCTCTGGCTCACTTTTCCATTGCAAAGTCTTGCAGGTGTCGAATGAGGAAGACCGAGTAGAGGCCCCTGTGTATGTTCACTACCATGGTTACGAGTCAGATTATGATGAGTGGGTAGGTGCAGACCGGATTCGAAGCAAGGCTTTGATCTGGCATGAGCCTAGTCTACCCAGTGACATCATGAAGAGCCAGCACTCTGAATCTGAAAGTGCTGCGACTGACTCTGATGAAAGCGATGAGAAATTTGCAGCGGAATTGCAGGCTTCTTTGCTTGACAAGTTTGTGTGTTGCATGTGGCTGGCTGGAAAGTGTTGGCTGAAAGGGCACCATTCCCTCGAGGGAAAACTTTTCTTGCACGAGGACATCCCTGGTCTACAGTGTGGTTTTGGTGCTAGTTGCAGGTACAAACACTATGAGACAAGAAGTTGCTCCATCGCTACACCTGTGAATATGGACCACTCTGAAAGTCAAAGTGTTGAGCCACACCATTTGCAAACTGCCACTGCTTTGCGAGGCGAGACGAGAGAGCGGGGCGGTGCTTATGCCACACCAGATGCATTGCCTACACTTGCCTTGCCTTGGTGTGAACCACTTGACTCTGGGACTGCCCTTGAAGACACTCTTCCACAACGGGACAGACAGTTGGGCCCACGCGAGGAGGACAGTGGTAGTGACTCCGGCACAGACTTCGAGACCTCCATACCACCATCCAATGACATGGAGTCATCTTGCCTTGGTGCACCGAATGACTGGGAGGATCGAATGGCTAGACAGAGTCTTGCTTGAGATAATGCGCGATGAATGAGACATCAAACGATTTCACAAGATTCGGTTCGATCGAATCCTTAGAAGTAGAAGTGTCAATCTTACCGGAGAACAACGTAACAACCAATGGGTTTCTACTCACTAAGTTTGTAACTTATCTTGGAAACATAGCAACATCATGCAACAT